AGGCCGAAGAACGGATCATCGCTCCGTGCGCAACAAACGTGTATGACACATTTCTTTGTTCTAGCGGTCTTTCGGAGTACCGTCATCCAATATCTGATTCCGTGAGAGCAAAATGAAATATGAGGATAAGTCTAGGTTCAGGAGCAAGCGAACGAATGTTGCGGAATAGATTTTATCATCAGCATCTGTGGAGTCTAATTTTCTGGGGCGTACATACGGACTGCCAAAACAGGCTCCTCGGCCGAGACCGCATAATATGAGGGGAGCGTTTTATTAATTACGAGTACATAAATCAAACGATGAGTAATTCTTCCAGTGCGTCAATGTCAGCAAGATATCGAAATCATTGCTACATGATGTTCACACTCAATTTTTAAATCAATGCAGACATGACTTGCCTTTTCTGTCAGTCCTATTTCATTGACGTTTTCTTGTGCGCAGAAGTTTGAAAAATAGCCACATCTACCAGAGCTCTGGATTTAGCCTGCTAGTCAATTGGCATATCTTTGAGCTCCGCCCATATTCGAATCTGCTGTATTTGTACAGATTCTCTGATATGTTCGCCGCGCAGGTATTTTGGGTATTGCACCGGCTTATCTTGAAGCCGTACGGTGGCGAAATTCCTGCCGCATGTTAAGCGCCTCGTGTTTCGGTCAGGGCCGCACGGACCCAGGGCCTGACTTCCCATATACACACCTCCCGCGACAAGCCTAAAGCTGGAGGATCCCCTCAAATAGCTTTACTATGAAAGAACTTTGCAATTTGTCACAAGAAATATTTTTTGGAAACATTCAATTCGTTATTCTTTTCATTTAATCATCGGATATTGAAAGTGTTTGAATTTGAGGCTATCAAGAGAGTTTGGCCTCGCACTCGAGGTGGTCGGGCGCAGCCCGGTACTGCATCGAACGCGACACCCGAGTTGACATCCAATGCACCACGGAACTTCGGGGTGGGCCGCGTGTCTTGAATCCGGAACTCGGAAGTTTCGTCGTTCCGGAAGGGTGGTCGATCATGTATTGTTGCACGCACAGTATACACAACTGGAACAGAGCAGGTACCTCTATGCCAACAGGACCAACCTTTACAGAGGAACCTATTTACGTAAAGAACATTTCTCTGAAGGCTGAAAGAGTCCAATGTCGAGTTTGTTACGAGAAAATGTGATTTTTGGCATCTTTTAGAATATCTGGTATTCCAAGTGCCTCTGAATCAATTTTATCGCCCAGAACAACAGCTATTGGGGTAGTTCTGTCTATTAAGATTTGTAGCAATGTTTTATGGAACTAGGTATTGTAGCGATTCGGTCAAATGTGTGCCAGTAAGAGCGTCAAGTCTTCAAGGAATCGTGGGAAGAAGTACGGTGAACGGCTCTCCTGGAATAATCAATGTATATCCCTTGCCGGTACTTCTATACCAATATAGCTCAAGCCAATATAGCCCAAACCAATACAGCCCAAACCAATACAGCCCAAACCAATATAGCCCAAACCAATATAGCCCATACCAACAATCATTGACACCCTCATTCAATATCGCTGCCTTCATTGCGGAGACAGATGTGAAGAAAACGAGTCACAAAATATTTGCCAGGATTGTTGATCAAGAAGGTTATTCTGCTCGAGATCATGTGCGCTCCAACGCAACGACTCGTCCCATTTGCCGTTGATATATCATAGGTTGCGCTAAAACCACTATCCACAAAATAATGGAGAAACAATTCTGGAATTTGAAGGAGTATGGGTTGAGGCCCCAAATGGGGGTTATTTGAGAAATGAAGCCGGTGATCAATGCCTGATCACAAACATCTAGGAAAGTTCCACAAAGTGCAGTGATATCACATGATACAGAAGCGTATGTGGAAAGGAAGTTGCAACAAACTAAAGTTTGTTTACTCGACACAATGAAGCAGCTGAATTAAATTGCTTGCAGGTACTAGCCCTTGTGTTTCTACTTGAAGTAAGACGCTTGGCGATATCAAAAGCACCACTCAAGGAATATCAATGTGCCAAAACCATCATATGCGAAGAGCATTATGGATATATAATAACTTAGATTAAAACTATAAAAGACAGCGCGATTTGCGCATCAAAAATTACACCTTCAGGTTCAAAAAGGAATGAGGTCCATCCTAGTAATACAATGAGCCGACAAAACGTCTTGGGCTATGTGTGGTTTGCATATATGAGTCCAGACAAAACCACGGAGCTTATGACGGGAATAGTGAAGTTGTCATCGAGGCCGGCCACATTCACAGCCTCCGAGAACGAGGTAACGAGTCCTGTTGCGAAGGCATAATAAGGAAAGCTCAAGTGGCTGCTGGACTCAGAGTAATAGTTATCACCAATGCTGTCTACTTGGTACTTTGGCACAAGGTATCCATAGTAAAAGTAACACACAAGTACACCCACAAAGAAACTTGCCAAACACCCAGCCAAAGACTTCCCCTGGGCCACTTTGGGCGTGTATTTTCCCCAGGCTCTTCCCACAGTTGACGCCGCGGTATCCGCCCAGCTCAAAAGAAGAATACTGACTACTGCGACATCTTTGGGGGCGAAACTGAGCACTAACGAAACACCTGCAAGATAAAACACAATCCCGTTGCACGAATCTCTTTCCAGTGCACGAATCAAATATTCCACCCAGGGCAAAATTGCATTATTAACCCTAGACGACTTCAAGCGAACCAACTCGAAAAGCGATGTGCCGCTGAAGATTGCCCAGAGCGGACGGGCGATCTGGTACTGCAGAAAGCCACAAGTGTAAAGATAAATAGTCACGAGGCCAATGGAAGAATGGAAGGCCTTGCGAGGAATTTCGTGTCTTAGCATGAAAGCCAGCACCAAGTTCTGATTTTTGCGATCTGAAGGATCGGTTTCGTTCACCGAGACTTTGAGTGCGATGCAAGCATCGTCAACAAGATCGACGTTTTTGCTCAA